ACTTGGTTCATGTCCGAGATACGGTATCGTGCAACAACAGCGGCAGTCCGTTTTGGGCGTGGTTCAATGTTGTTACCCGAAGGTCGAGGATCAGCAGGTAAATCCAAATGCGTTGTGTCTATATTTACACGAGGTATATCCATGGTTGTGACGTCAGCGTTCATTTCTAGTGGATATAATTTGTTGATAGGTCTGTTTGTACGTCCATTCTTTGTTCTAATAAACGCTGATCGTACGAGTTTGTCTCTTCCGTAGACAAGTTCCTCAACAACTGCCATCGGCCATTTAATGCGATGGTCAATATCATTGTGGACGAGGACAACGTCTCCGACCTTGATTATATTGTCTGTTTTGCCGGTTAACTTGTGATTCTCGCGTAGTGCAGGTAAATACTCCGCTGTCCAGCGTTTCCAGAAATGCGCGAGTAACCTAGCGAGATGTGCGTATCGTTTGTTTACGTTGTCATGGTTACTGAAGGTCGGGTCGTTGAGTTCATCGTCGCTTATTTCCGGGTAAGGTAATATTGTCATTTGACGTCCATGTAATAAATGAGATGGAGTTAATGGCGTAGCATCGTCGATATCACCGGAAACATAAGTGATTGGACGGTCATTTAGAGTCGTTTCAATTTCGGTTAGTACAGTTCGTAATTCTTCAAACGAGATATAGGATCGCCCTAATACCTTTTTGATCGCGTTTTTTGTCATTCCGATGAGCCGTTCCCAGAAACCTCCATACCATGGTGCACGTTTAGGAATGAAGTGCCAGTGTATGCGTTTGTTAGCTAGATATTGTTTCACGTCCGGAGAGTCGAATAATTGATTCAGTTCATTAGCGGCTGATAAGTACGTGGATGCATTGTCCGATATTAGTTTTCCTGGCAACGAGCGTCTGGCGACAAAACGGCGAAACGCGAGAAGAAAACTTCGTGTTGATAGATTGGGCATAAGTTCTAAATGTACGGCTCTCGTCACTGCACATGTGAATAAGCATACGTATGATTTCGTTTCTTTAGCTGTCTCAGGAGATTTCACGTGTAGAGCACCAGTGAAGTCTACCCCAGTCACGGTAAAGGGCGAAGTTATATTCACTCGACACGATTGAAGCGGTGCTTGTAATGGGTCGTGTTTTTTAAAGCAGATATTCTTACGTTATGATCACTAAATTCACTATTTTATGTGCTGTTGAAGGTGCCATTCACGGTAAAAGATGTTCTGTGCTGCCAACATTTTTTTTGTGTCCCGAAAAATAGATTTTCTGTGTGTGTTTTTCGAAACTCGTGGTTCAACTCGACGCCATTTTAGATACCGAACTGTGCGTAAATACATCAACGAGAGTTTCTCGTTTCGGTTCCTTTTTTGAGAATAATACAAATCCGGTGTAGATAATAATACCCAATACTGGTTGTTATGAAGATTAACAAATGAGTTGTGGGGTTAAGGTATATTTGGGTATCTGCTGTTTCGTTATATTCGGTGAAATATCTTTGTTTACATTTCTATTTTATTTTTATATTGTCAGACAAGAACGTGCAGCTGTTGAAGCCATACAAGCTCTTAACAACCATGCCTCGTAAGAAGAACAGTTTTCGGAGGCCCAAGAGTTACTACAAGCAATTTGAAAAAAAAGTCCAGTGAATGTGATGACTTCTCACAATCGC